CCAAGCAAGCCCTGGTTGTCTGGGAAGAACTCAGCTGTCCAGAATACATCTGCTCTTTGGAAAGTTTGGCTTGCGTTTCTACAATGTCATTGACCCTGTCCAGTGGGACAGGATTGTCATCTTTTTTTGCTGGCCTGGTGTTGGATTGTGTTCGCGTTTTCTGGTCAATCGAGGGGCAGCGTGCGATGGAAAACATGTAGTCTATGTACGAAGCCGTGCAGGGCTCAGCCGAAGCTTTTTTGTCGGATGGCTAGGGGTTCGGCTCCGCTGTCATGCGCTTAATGAGCTGCTAAAATTGAGCCAGAACTCGAGAGCAAACACGCTGGCCAGCAGGCGTAATTGTCACACACACACACCACACGCCCCAATCACACACCACCCTTCCAAACACACATTGTTTTTTGTGGAAAATGCCTGGTAGCTGCGAGGAGCAGCGGTGCTTCGTGCAAGGTGGCTCGTCAGCCGCAAGAAAATGTTTTTGAAAATGCTTTTCACTTTTTCGGGAGGAAGGGCTCTCATCGGAGGAATGGTTTGGCTCCAGCGGGCATGTGTTCTGTTGGGAGAATGAAGCAAGGCCACGGCTGTTGTGTGTGTGTGTGTCCAAACCGTTAAACAAAAACAAAAACTATGAAGTACAGCGGATGGACAAAACCCTGCACCACCTGGGATGGATGAAGCCCAATCAAATAAATTACCTGACCGGTGCAGGATTTATCCATCCGCATGTCAGCTTTCATAGACACCAATTATCGGTTGCTCCCCTGCTAAAAGTTTAACATTTAATGGTTTAATGGAAAACCCATTAGTTGGCAAAAAGTTAAAGTCCTAACATCCAAGCAAGGTGCACCCAAGAATTGCCCTTGAGACCCGTCTTTGAGACGACTTCCACGTGACCTCCTGGACAGCTGCCGCGGAGGAGTTCTTGGACTCATGCTCCTCGAGCACCTCACAGGCCTGGCGCTTGGGAAAAAAAACCGCCCTCAGTGATCATGGCAGAGTTTAATTCATAAACCCCCGGTTCATTCATAGAGGGGGGCGTTGGGGACTCATCACTTTGGGAGGGAACACCCCCCTAATAATGGGACGGGTTTATGAATCCTGGGCCAACACGTTGACCCAATATGGGGGTGTTCCTCTCCAAAAGTGGTCTGAATCCCCACTAAAACCGAGGACACCCCCATATTAATAAACAGGGGTTGGTTAATCTGGGGTCAAGATGAGAGACCTGAAAGAAACCCAAGAGGGTAGTTTAGGACAAACCCATTTAAGGACACCATAGCAAGCGAGGAAATGATTGAATAAGGGAGTAGTTCTTAAAGGTTCTTCCCCTGCGCTTTTTCCAACATGCAAGCGGGCCTTTTGTATGCCAGCAGCCCCGATTGTATTTGAGGGCCAGTCGACCATTTCTCGTCGCCGCGCCTGGCAGGCCAGGGCCTCTAGCAGGTCAGGTTCTGCACCTCCCGACTCCAACCCCCGACGGCAAGGTGAGTTGAAGACGTCTGGCCATGCGAGCTGCAAATCCGGAATCCGGACAACAACACCGATGGTTCGCCTCCTTCCTCCCCAGTTGTGTCACCAGTCGCACCTCCCGGCACATCGAGGACCTGCGGCCAGGCAAACATGTGCCCTTCCTTTTTGCTGAAGATACCTTATTTTAGTGTTGCCTTTGCAGGAAACCAACACGCAACCAACCATGAAAAACATGTGTTTCAGTGGCACGTGGTACTTTCGGCAGCAATGGCACACAGTTACTGGATGCAGCTTACCCGCTCCTCGGCAGCTGCGCGGCGAAGCTTCGCCTCCAGGTCCAGCCTAGTTTGCTTGCATGCCCGAGTGCGTGCGGCCAATGACAATCGGTGGTTCCCATGCGTCATGATTGAGCCCACGCCCCTTGACACCCTGACACGATAGAAGTTTTTGCTGCCCATGTCATGACTTCCTATTTTTGAAGGTAGTAAACACGAACAATTTGTCTGCGGCTCTGCTTGAAGCATGGTGGGGTTCATCTAAGACAGTCCGTTGATCTGCATTCGATGCAAATGTTGGCCGGACAATGGTGGCAATCGCGAGTCACATGTGAGGCCTTCAGCTGTGCTTGATCGAAGCACAAGAACCCCCGCCCCAAACCTACGATTTGCGACCCCATACCTTTCGCTGCCAAACTGTGGATGATTGTAGGTGGGGCGCCAAAACAAAGAACAGCTGACGGACAACAAGGCTTAATCGTTACCGGGTCGTCCGCGTCGAAATTGCCTCAGGCAGCGGCACCGAGGGCTGGTCTGCTGCGGCCTGGCAAATGCAACCGCGTTCTTGCAGCTACATCTTGCAGGAATAAAAACTGGCTCCCGGCACTTCTCTTTCCAGAAGTTGATTGAAAATGCAGTTCGTTCCCACCTTGTCCCTCCTCACCCAAGACCCGTAGTGGGATCCCATGACTCGAAACAAAGGCCTCCGTTTAGAACCCTTCCCTGGACTGCGAAGGGAAATTCGAGGCCGAAAGTCCTATGCGGGCTTGTCAAACCTGGGCAGCTGCACCGGGCTGCTCAGCCCAAACCCACGTGGCAAGACCTGCAGCAAGCACGCCGCGAAAAACTACAATTCTAAACACGGAGGACACCTAAAACTCATCGCGCCAACGGAAGGATTGCTCGGTTGCTCTCTGCCGCTCAAGAAAAATAGAGGTTTAATGGAAACCCATTAGTTGGCCAAACAAAATAAAGTCCTAACATCCAAGCCGACTGCATCAAAGATTGTAAACATGAAGCATTTAGCCCGGCACGAGGCGCGCCGGCATGGCTTCCCGAGTGTGGGCACGGCCGCATCGCCATGGGCAAACGAATCACGAAATGGATTCCTTTTCGCGACTCATGCCCGGAATGAAGGACTAATCTTCCCTGATCTTCCCTGATTGGACTGGCAAAAAGTATTCGATTTTTTATATGTTCCGCTTTCTTTTCTCTACCAAAAAAAAACTTACAGAGTGAGAATAAAACCACGCGGCACGCGAGGCTTCATTGCTAATTGCATCAAATTGCAACTGTGGCAGCCCCCTTCTCATCCGGGCACGTCCAGGAGCCAAATGGCTGCAGCATGATGCGCATGTGTCCGGGCCACCTAGTCCACGCAACCCTGAAAAATCAACAGGACAGGAGAAACAACGCAACGCAGCCACCTTTGAGAAAACAGCTGCAGCAACAACCGCCCGTGCTGGGGCACGCAGCTAGCATGCCCCCGGGCCCAGCCGCTGCCGGCAGAAGGCCAAGCGAAGTCGAGAGCCGCTCGTTGCGGGCGGAAGGCCAGAGGGGACAGCGAATTGCATTCAACAGCTTCCGGAATTCCGCGTTCATTGTGCCTATGCCGCTAGTTTGCTGGCGCGGGACGCTCTGCCCTCCGTCAAGTCAGTGACATTCCTGGAGCGTGCGTGGAGCCGCCGCCGGCTGCCAGCCGGCTCTGGTGAGGCTTTGAGAGGCCTCGCCGGAAGCACCCCGTAAGCAGGGTGGGGGGAAAAACGCGGCGGGGGAAAACGCGCGAAAAACAAATTGCACAAAATTGAAATCGGACAGCCAGCGGGGCCTTGCCCTGCTTTTGCAAAATGTTGCCGGCCCCCTCGCTCAATGCCACGCTGGTGTTGGCCTGGGGCGGTCGCATCCGCGTGCGGTGAAAGGCGCCTGCCTGCACCTGAGGAGCTGCGCTCCGTAGGAACAGCAGCCAAAACCTCCCGGAGGCGCCCTTTGAACTACCCGCCTCAAAACTCGCCGGGGCCACGCGGAGGAAAAACAAATCCTGCAAACTCCTAGAAAACATCTCCGGGTCCACTGTCAGCTCGCCAGCTTGCTATGGAGCAAGGTGCGGGACCACAATTACGCCAGCAAGCGCCTAGATGCTATCGCCTCACATAGGCCGCAATCAGCACTGCGCAGCCGCTCCGGGACAGGCCCGGCCGAGCTGCCGGACAAACGGCATCGGCACCCTCACGCCCATCACGACCAGCTTGCAGCGAGACTGAGGCGCCATCAGCTCGGGGTATCTGCGCTCCTTGGCCGGGCATGCAACACGGAACGCCGGTCCTGCGGCTTGGCCATGGTGCGGAGACGCAAGTGTCGTGTCGACGCCCCCACCCCAACAAAGGCAGCCCGTAACCTCAATCCGGCGGTCATCGCTCACGGCGCCGCCAAGATTCAGGCCAGGGGCTGACGTGACCTTCGAGGAGGGACTCAGCAAACAACTGCTGAGCCGCAAAGGAAAGGAATGCCGACCGCCCGTGGCAAAGGGAAGGGGGACTTTACGCTGATTTTGTAAAATGTTGCCCGTGACGTTGCCCGCTGCTGGACCTGACGGGCAACCGCGGGGAAAAACAAAAACAAAAAAACGCAAGGAACCGTTTGTTATGCCTACTCGAGACTGCGCAGAGGGTACCAGGAGGAGTTGCTCATGGCATGGGTGCATGGCAACCGCGATGTTCCCACTTTGCGAATGGAGCAGACGGTTGAGCCTCTACATGTCCTGCTGCGGTGCATAGGGCTCTGGCTTGCTGAAATTTGGGCCGCTGGTTCGCAACACGTTGCGTTCCCTCCGGAATCGCTGAATTGAGGAGCCCGCTCTTCTGGTACAAGCACCTCCATGTGACGCTTGCAGGCCAAAGCCGGTGGAGGAGATTGGGATGCGCGGCCATGGTTCCTGGGTGTCACCGTTACAGGAAGGTGGGGCGATGCGCGGGTTGCTCAAGTACCAATTCGCGGCGCGCAAGGGACACATCTTCTCCCATTGTTTGCAAGGCCTCGAAATCTTCCTCCCTGCGCAAGTCGCGTTGAAAGGCTTTCAACAGCACGATGGCCGAATTCAAAGACAAGGTCACTGGGGACCTCAGCCTACGGTACCTGGATGGAAAAGCGCGGATTCCGGTGGTGCGTATCCCGGCACAGGCGCTCCCCTTCACTGCCTCGGCGTGGCAGCACAATCTCCTGAACCAGCGATCTGCCATGGCGGCGGTGGTGGCTGAT